TTAATAAAGTCTCCTTTGGTTGTCTAAGATAATTTAACATGCCACTAAATATTATAGTGTACAGATTTTATATTTTCACTAGGCGCTTTTTGCCTTCGCAAAATAATTTAAAAGGTTTTGTATCATGTTGGAGTACTTGGTTTTGCCTTGTTTGTGAAAGAATGTTATTGAATAGTATTCACTCTTTAAGTTTAGATGTCTGTGACCATTTCTTCGTTATCTTGAGAAGCAAAAAAAAGTTTTTTTATGAAGTTATTTGGTGTTAGTGGAATCTTAATCCGATTGAGAATTCAACATGTGTCAATGTTCGTTGACTAATTTCTCGATATGTTATTTTGCTTTATCGATGTGTTTATTTATTTTATTGCGTGGTTCATTATTATGTGGTGATCCATTTGCTATATGATTTAGATCTTAAGGTGAGAGAGTAAACTTCATATTTATCCCTATCAACTAATTACTCTCTTTAAGTTTATAATTATATGACTTAATGACCATTATTATGTATTATAGACCCTTGTACATTTGAGTAGTTTTGGTATTTGACTTAAAAATGGCCTTGTAACTTTTGTATTATTTTGTTAAATAGTTCCATTACTCACCAATTTATTTGTACTAAAAAGGAATGCATGCTTGTGCGATTGCACTTATAGATTAATTTTCTTTATCTTAATTTATGCTCTAATATCATTGATTGTGATTACTTTTGCATTTTGCTTAAAAACCACTTAATGTTGTATAAGAATTACACATCTCTTTTTCATTATCACATACTTTCACACACTTATCAACTTGTATGTTCCATTTATGATATATTAATTTTTATGAGCTTAACAATGAAATGTTCTAACAGATAAGATTTCAAAATAAATTTCAAAATGTCAACGCATTTTTAACTCACTCCTCGTTCTTTGAGTTTCATTAAATTAACAATTGGATTCTTAGGGAACTAATTAAAAATTTTCGAGATATAACACCTTGCAATCATTGAGGAGCCTAAATCATTAAATAAATTCTATATATAGCCATTGATATATCTATACTTATCATCAATCATAACTTTCCTTATGGTGTAATCATCATTGAATCTTAATTTATACCATTCCTTATTTGAATGATAGCCATCGCTACTTCTAGTCTTACTTTGTAACGTTACTTTCATCATAGTTGTTATTACATCCATATCTAACTTGTAGCATTACTAGCGTGATATCCATTATTATATCAAGATGTGTATTACAAGATTCTTAGCATTAGAACCATTTTCTTACCAAACTTATACTACAATTTCATGTATTCAATGTTCATCTCTTTCAAGATCTACCCAAGCTCTCTTGTATCATAATCAACTCCTTCATGACATAGTGTAAACTCATTTTTATTATAATTATTGCCACATTTAGAATTATTTAATAATCTAATTTATACTATAACTCTCCCTCGTAAGTCCTACATGCCAACCTTTCTTTTTTTGTAATCATTTCCTTCAAGATATGTATCACCATCTCACTTTTATCATAATCATTGATAAATTCAAGCTTATATCACAACATTATTTATGTTGTAGTCATCCCATATTCCACAATCTAACATGAATCATAATCATCATAATATCTAAAGTAGCTATACAAGCTCGTATGCATCATAGTTATCACCACATCCAAAACTAAACCACAATACTACTATTCTACAACTTTGATTGCATTATAGTCATCATCATTAATGCCTTTGCCAACTTTTCTTCTGCCACAATTGTCCTTTTTAAGACTTACTACACAACCCCTTTGGTTTTGCATTCATTTTTGTATATCTATATTTGTTGCACTACGATCTTCTTCTTCTTGACTAGTACATAACATGTTTGGAGTGCATTTATACCTAAATAACTAACAACATCCATGCACTATACCATCATTAACATATTTACTAGAGGACCTATCTAAATGCAATCAACATTGTCTTTCAAAATTGCTAAAGAAAAATATTGTATTAAACCTTAGAGGCAGATCGACCTTATACCTCTTTCTATAAATAAAAGATATTGTTCAACTATACTAGGCCAAATTTTTAAAACCCTAAAATTTTAACGCAAACAATCTTATCAACTCTATGTTATACTTGATTGCTCGAGTGTGAGATTCCATGAGGATTGAGATTAATCACAAAATAGTTAGGCATTACATGTAGCTAGGAAACACACCTTTCTCCATCTACATGCAACAACGTCTGTTTGTTATGCGTCCACTTTTAGGGATCTTAAAGCCCTTATTTTGATGCTCACAACCGATCAATCTACTTTTACCCATTCATATCGAAGGTTGATCCATAAAAAATTAATAGAATTAATACACTCCTAATACTTCCTTATGAGTCATCCATTTGTGCATCATAATTGCCTAACAATATTAAAAGCATTATTTAAAATAAAATTATGTTAGCCAATTCATTGTTAAAATATAAAATGATGTGGTGATTATTCAGACAAAGAGATAATGATAGTTAAAAGAGAGAAAAAGCCAATAATCTTATGTGATTATATATTATTGTCAACTCATCAACTTCTTAAAACTATGACTGAGCAATTTATTTTAAAATCATGAACTCTCTGTATGAAATGGTAAGATTACATGAGACAAGGGGAGCAAAATATAAAAAATGTTTATATACGGTAGGTCAGAAAGAGAATCCCAATATATCATGACGGGTGAAGTTGAAAAAAAGTGGCATGTACATGCATACTTCCCAATTATTATGTATTTACATATTTAGCATCTAAACTTTGCTTTTTATATTTCCACCACCTAAATCTATCATATCACATAGCAAATATCATAATTTTGAGTTTTAAAAATTTGAAATACAAATTTTCAAGGATATGTAAGGTGGCATATACGTAAAGAATTAAAGTTTAGATATTATTTTTGTCAATATATAGATGTTGAGTGGCATGCATGCAAAATTTCCTTCAAAAAAATTGCATTAAGCAAAGCGGCCAATAAGCGAAAAATTATATTGCCAAGAGTTGAATTCCCCATTCACCCAACTTCACAATTAAAAGTAAATATTAAAAAAATTAGAAAACATTGAAGGGAGAGAACTCAACTAATTTGTTTGGGAGAGCTTTCTATATGCTTTATGTTTCAAAGTGCCATCCTAAGTTTATTTTATTTGGGGAACTGTCACTTCACGAATTTAACATATTTGTGTCTGATAGATCAGCCAGAAATCCGACGATATTTAAATATTTGTGTGGGATTTGTATCTGATTTTTTTCGGCGTTAAATTTGGGGTTGGTAATCTTATTTTCGTTTAATTTATATTGAAATATTCAAACACAAATAATTTGTGTTGGTTGTTGTGTCGTATTAGCGTCGTATTTGTTTATATGTAACGTGTGTCGAAATTTGCATCTAAAAATATCCTATTATATATCTTATTATTGGATAAGTGTTTCCTTTGTGTTGGAAAATATCTTAGAATGACAAAATTATTATAGATGCAGCGTCGGATTTTGTGTCTGAAAACGGACGTAAACTTATAATATAGAAAAAAAAAAATAGAATATCAATTACATTTTCACAACGTGTACAAAAACAAACTCCACATCACAAACTTCATTAATCATAACCATATCACAGATCAATTCTATAAACAATATCATTAACCAAAGAAAGATATCGTTACAAATCGTCACAGATAAGAATAATAAAATTAATCCAAAAAATTTCACAATGAAAATGAAAGGAAAAAAAAAACAAATATCATCTCCATCCTCCTCCTCTTCCTCCATCTGCACGTATGTCATTGGTTGTTTGCCCCTGCTATCTGCTAAAGTCTCCTTCATGTGCGCTATAGAGTCTTCCACTTTATGTTGGTCACGTGACAACTGCTCACGCAACTCGTGCATCTCTTCGTTCATTGCAGCCACTTGTCTAGCAAGAGCCTCCTGGTCTGGCTGTAAGGAGCTAAGGGAACTAAGAATGGGACCACGGGAGAGCTCAACCTCGAAGGCTATGTCCTGCGCTCCAAAGTCATAAACCCTCCTCCTTCTTCCTCCCTATCGCTTGGGTCCAAAGCTCGTACTCGGACTGCGCAGTGATATACTGACTTCCACTACTACTAGTCTCAGTCTGGGCCTGAGTGATCAAGTGCCTCTCTCAAAGCTACTTGAACTCCTTCTGCATAATAAAAACTAACTTTTAATGACACTTTCAACAGTTAAAACCAAAAGTAACTTTTGATTTAAGGTTTTTAACTTACAACAAGTCGCCAGGAATACTCTGAGACCCATTACATAGTCCCCGGGCACCAATGAGTTTGGGCATGTGGCTCCGCAACGGATGGAGCACAGCTCAACTCATTGTCCTATGTAGCGTACAAAAATGGTTAGCCATATTAAATTAATCCAAAAATTGAATTAATCTCTAAATATCTAAAAAAAATCCTACCAGCCATCTATATTGCTCCATATGGGGGACCGATATGTGAATATGGAGTGTAACTTTTGTGGCCCCCTTCGTCGCCCGATTCACCCAGTTCCTCTGTCTCCTCCTCTCTTAATCAGAAGAGGCCTAAGCTGTGGTCAACTGACCCCAGAGCCCATCACCAATCCAAGCAAGCCGCTTGCCCCTCAGGAGGGCTGTTGTGAACATGTCGGGAAAGCGATGCCTTCCCTGAATCTTAAAAATTCAGCTGATCTGGTAGTGGTCCTCTAACAGCAAGGTGAAAGACCTCTGCAATGTAAAAAATAATCAATGTGTTAGTATTAAAATTTAAATCAAATTTACAAATCTGATTCAAATAACAAGATCATTCCTCAAACTCCCTGAACCACATGTCCCGAGTGGCTACAGGTGTCTGCTTCCATGACAAATAAGGGTCATCGTAATTGCTTCTGATTATCTCTGTAATACTGGTGACGAGCAGCTTTTAGGGAATGAATCTACTTAAGAAACAAATTTGTTACCAAAAGTATAAAGCATGAAGAATAAACATAATACACGGTGGTGCAGGATTTGACGGGCTAAGCTCAAGAGTTGTGCCAGCAACAGGTGGGGGTGTATGTGTGGAAGTAGCATGCATCACAGGAGACGGGGCAACATCGGGTGTGAGAGCAGTTACCGCAAGCGGGATGATAACAATAGGTGCAAGAGGAGGTGCCGCAAAAGGTGTAGCAACAGCCGATGGTGGAGGAGGTGCTACAAAAGGTGTAGCAATGGCAAGTGGGGGAGGTGGTGCCAGAGGAGGTGCAACATTATTGGAAGCATTGGCAGGAGTAGACGACCTCCTCGTCCTACTACAGTAGGTGGTTGTCCATCTTTAAATAAAGGAATGACATTAAAAAGATTAGTACTTGCAGAAAAAATAATCATAAGCTGAAAGAAACAGTGCAGTAAAAGTAAAATACAAATAGCAGCTATGTCTAAAAGCAAGGAAAACAAAAGTAAAGAGGTATGCCTAAAACCAATAAAAGTAAAATACATATTGTAATAGTAGTACCAACTAATCTAAATATTTTGTTCCTTTGTTATTAAGTCTGATTAGAGGAAATCACCATTAAAGATGGACCTAAAATTTCTTCTTCACTTTATTCATCATCCTCTTCGATGTTTCATCTTCGTGTTAAACGCTCCCAAGAAATTGAGCTCTCTGAGCGTCATGAACCATTTTTTTCATAACTGTCAGGATCAAATTCCTCTACATGGTTTGAGGCACCTCCTTGATCGAAGTAAACTTCAGGTTCTTGCTTACCATGCACAGTCCAGTACCAATAATAAGGTTTGAATTTGTTGTGGTAAATATCCAACTTAAATTCTTTAGGTGACAGAAGTGCTTGGTTTTTGCTTCGCAAAAGGACACTGAAACTTACCCTCAGAATGATAGATGGGCAACTTTGATGCCATCTGCACAAATTCATCAATGTCATTCAAGAACTCATCTGTGATCCATTTCATCTTGGATAAAATATGGTGTACAATCAAGCTCTCAAATTACAAATTTTCATCTGCAGAATAGATGTAATTTTACGGGTCAATGCAACTAGTACGGAAATAAAAAATTAGTAAATACTTACAGCAAGAAGTCAACACTACTTGGTCAACCAACCAACTTCAAGCAACTAGCTTGAATTCTACTGATAATAAACTCATTTATATCACCATCACTTTGAAAAAGACTAGATGCACTTCTCTACTACAACCAACTAACATTAATTCAACTGATAAGATCCCCATCTATATAACCCTCACTTTGAACATTTGACCGATCAATGCATTTCTCCAATTCAACCAAAAAACTTCAATTCTACTAATAACATCCCCACCTATATCACAATTATTTTGAACAAAAGACCCGATCGTGGCATTTCTCCACCTCAACTAACCAACATGAATTCTAGTAATAGCATTCCCTTCTATATCACTGTCAATTCAAACAAGACTCGATGTATATATTGCTCCACTTCAACAAACCAACTTAAATTCTACTAATAGGTAAATGCATACCACTCAATATTTATGATTTACATAGCTAACCCCCACGCTTCAACTTTTTCAAGATTTCATACATACCACTCAATACTTATGTATATACAAAGCTAACACCTAAGCTTCATTTTTTATGAAGATATTCATGCATACCACTCAATTCATATGTATATCCATACCTAACACCTAAACTTCAAGTTTTGCATACATCCCACATTTACACAACTAAACAAAAATTTAAATAACAAAGATTGAAAGGCGTAAATGAAATTACCTTTCTAAATGTTTTTTGATTGGAGCGAAGCAAATGGATGAGAACTATGGGAGTTTCGGTGGTGTTTGTAATCCGAGTACCGTCTTTACCTTCCCAACCAAGCTATCTAGCCCTAATGGCGACTGTGTCGTGACAGGCGACGGTTTTGAGTGAAACCGTGAGAGAGGGGTAAAGTGGAGAGCGAGGGATTCAAGCAGACAGGAGGACGGCAGATGCGGAGAGGAATGAAATGGAATTTAGGCTCACGGGATGTGAACATTAGGTCATTTCCGTAGGATTTCCGTCGAATTTGTGTCTCACTTAATTCGACGCCGACTGGTAAAGGTTTTGCGTCACTTAATCCGACACAAAATTCGTCGCTAGTCTAAACAAAGTTTCACCGTTTTCAGAATATTTTTTTCTAGCGAATTTTTTAACACAAAATCCAACGCAATTATTAAAATTTATTATTCCGCACTTAGCGCCCTCAAATCCAACCCTAATATTCACGTCAGAAAATTTCAACGCATTTCAACTAAAATAAATATGTTTCATCATCTTGTTTTGTTTTAATGTAAATGTACACTCTATTATTTTCTTTCCAAAAAAACCCCTTTTAATCTTAAATAATACTCCTTTTTTTTTTTACTTCCTCGAGGCCTTGCGAACCAACTCAAATAGAGAAATATTAAATAATAATATTTTAATGACATAAATAGTTCACATGTGAATATTTTAATCCTTGGGTGATGTATCTTAAAATCATAAAAATAATAAGTTAGAAAATCCAAACCAAAGCTCCGTTCATCAAAGATTTAAAATTAATTAGATTTACATTAAAATAAGGGGATTTAAATACATACCACATAATTTTATATACTTGTATATCTAACACCTCAAATTTTATATTTACCTCTATGACATTATAATAATTAACGTCACATAAAATTTATCACTAATATTATTTATTAAAGTTAAAACATTTATTTTCATGCATATATTTAAGTATGCTTACGATACTAGTTTACACATGTTTTATCATTAAATATTAAAATATAGGTGTTACAAATATAAATACATAAAAATTATGTGGTATCTTTGCAAAACCCACTTAAAATATATGTAATATAAATTTTGATTGCTTAGTCATATCTTATACTAAACTATTATTGAAATATTATTTATTAACGTTAAATTTTTTTTTTCTAAATTTCTACTCTATTAGCATCTTCTACTCTCCTTACCGTTCAAAGCTTGGCCAAACATCTCCTTAAACTATATTAAACAATAATTATTTAATCAAAGAAGATTATTATGCTTCCATGCTAATCTATCTCAATAAACAACATATTTGAATACATTTTGGGCTACCTATAACCATGCAAGTCAAGTCTACCCAATTAATTCCAAGTCAAGTCTATCCATCTAAATTGTAACTTTATCTTAATAAATATTTATATTTTTATTCACATTTTTTATCCACCCATGAAATTGACCAATTAAAATAATCAAATCTACAAGTAAGATGTTAAATATGGCTCATAATACCAGAATTTGGAGTCCCTTGGAATGAAGATATGTCTCTTAGAATTAAAGAGGTGTGTCTCTTGAAATTTAGTGGGTCGAGATCAGCGTGGGCGCAACAGAAGCATGGTAGCCCAACCCACATTGGTGCAGGTGTAACCCCCATACATTTTTTCTCCTAAGGGGCTGAATATTCGCCAAAGTGGAGATTTGTTATGATATGACTCATATACCATTTAGAGACATACGCTGGAATGAAGCGGAGCAGAGCGGAGCGTAGCGGAAGAATCTGTCCAAATCGGGAAGTTATGTTATGTGGGTTGGGGGTGCTGGGTCAGTGCCGCGCTATACCGTACAAAGGTAATTTGGGAATTACATATTGTACTGTAGGGTTTACTCTATGATTATAAATAGACATGTTTGTAATCCTAGGTTTTTGAGAGAGCTGAATATTGTATTTTGTATTCTTTTCTGAATATTGAAAAGGAAGTCGCCGCTCTGCTCCCGAGGATGTAGGCAGCTTTGTCGAACCTCATTAAATCTCTGTTTGTTCTTCTGGATTTGTGTTGATTCTTATTTTTCTTCTCCCACAATATATTATTTATAAAATTCATATGAAAAATAATCTTAAGTTTACAAAAAGTGAGGACAAATACAATTTCATGAGAGATTAAACTATGAGAAAGTTAACTAGCTAACTCCATATCCCCTCACAGAGTCCTATGCAGAAAAAAAAAAGTTACAAATTAACTTTGATTACAAAATACTTCGGCAAAACACTTTCCTTACAATCATTGATATTCTAATATAATGATCTTATTCAAAAGGAAAGTTGAATAATAATGAACAAAAGATTATACAATTATGCTACCAACCACCCAAATGTTTCTAAAGGCACATTAAGCCTTTCGCTTTTTTGTTTTCCCTTCAAGTATTCTCCCCCCATTCCGTTAAGAACTAAACTATCTTATTGGAAAATTTGGCATGACTTGAAAAGAAGCTTTTGCAAACTCCAAGTCAAACAACTTGTGTGTTTTGCTTTTAAACGATTAACCCAAATAAAAAGTAATCTTGATGAATGAGCAAGCTACCACTAATGAATAACATTACGTTTTATTTAACCCCATTCAACAAATTATTAAGCGTCCATGCCGCACTATTCCATGTCACGGAAAGGAAGAGGAACCACCTTCACTGCTCTAAACTTGCCAACATTGTTCAAGTGCTCGTTCTCCAACCTTTTTATATATTAAAAAAAAAAGAATCATCACCAGATGTCTTCATGCAAGAGTATCAAATGATGACTAATCTAGTAAAAGTCGGGAACAAAGAGAGTATTGTAGAATGATACCTGTAGAAGTTCCAGTGTCCCCGTCGAATAATTTCAAGGGATGCCAGAGTGAAGTCAACAAGACGATTTTCCAGGAAGCCCATATTTAGTCGTAGCACTGTTTCTACCCATGCAAGTCGTAGCACGAAGTTTAAAGCCTATAACATAATAATCACCTGCTTAGTGTCTCAAAATTATCTTGTTACCATTATTATTTGTTAGGCATGCTAGGGGCGTTTACATACACAACACACAATTCTTATGTATTTACAAAATCTCACATCTACACTTATCACTCCAATCTTTAATATAAAATCATAATAGATAAATAATGTTACCAGGGAAAAGTAATAGATGCACTTGTGTCTGAGAACAAGTTCGTCTCTAAGAAATAGGTTTTTGGAGTGGAGGTTGAGAAGTCCCCAATCCTTAACAAAGTCCCAATAAAGCTGGTAGAAAGTGGCAAGTGTTGAGGTGATGACCACGATTGCAAGCCACATTGGAGTCGGGTCTAATGCATACTTCCATCGAGCAGCAGCAGCCAACATTGCAGATATATACTTGCCCGCATTAGCCAAGTGATTGGGATCGTAGCCTTCCTCCATGTACCTTCTCGCACACTAATTGTTACGTAGATTCATCTGGATTAGTAGAGTACATATGTTTTTCTCATGATAATGTATTGGTTGCCGGGCTTACCTGCATAGCACGGTAGTAGTAAGGGAGGAAGGAAATTATATATGCCAGGAGCTTGTAGCTTTTGCTGTTGGTGCAGGTGTCGTACGGGTGGATTTTGAACCCCACTGCTATAAAATAGCACGATGTGAATTCCAAGTACCGGAGCAGCGGGATCTGTGCACCAGCGGCCAATTACAATGTCACTTCGAGTCCCCAATTTAAATTTATGGTGCCAAACAAATTAAATTATTAAAAATTCCAATTTTATTTTTAAAATTGTGTATACATCGTATAGTTTAATAGAAAAAATTAAATATGTTTGTTTTTATCCTAGTTAATCGAATTTCTTTCAAATCAAACAAATTATGCTACAATACACAACATTTTCCAAAAAGACTAATTTTCTAGAAAATATTATCTGGCGTAGACCTTTTTTTATATCAGTTTGCTTTTGGTTGTCTTTTTAATTAAAAACATAATTCATTAAATAAAATTTAATTTTTTTTAATTAGTTATTCATGAATTTTTATTTATTATATTCTTTTGAATTCCGTACCTGACTAGTTAATTGATCTGCCATGAAAAAGTCCACCATTAACACCTTCAATAAATCATACAAACTTAATATTAGACTTTTCGTTGGTCGAAACTAATACCGAATCATAGGAACTAGGAGTTTTAACGGTTACGCATAAAATGATACAAATTAATTATTTGACAGTAACATTTATTGAAAAAGAGAAAAAAGAAAGAAAGAAAACAGTGCAAACTTAATTTACCTTATAAAATGGAGAGAATATGATATTTCGCATGACTCGAAGAAAGCTATAACGTGTGGAACGATAAATTATGTTGAATGGACAAAT